TTTTACTGAATAAATACAATCAAATCCAAAAAATTCAAATTAATAAGTAAAATTCAATTGCATGAAATCCAAAGAAGAAGAGAATGGAGGGCCAGAAATTTGAGGAGGATTAGAAAGAAGAAAAGGAGGAGGAGGAGGAGGAAGAGGAAGAGGAAGAGGAAGAGGAAGAGGAAGACTTACCTGGTTGCAGATGAGTGCAGGATGACAGAACAGTGACGCGAGGCCATGGAGCAGTAGTCCATGGGAGGCAGAGATGTGTTGCGATGAATTGCAGAGCCGGCGACGGGAGTACTGGTGCGATGAATTGCAGGGGTAGACTTGTAGGCTTAATTGATTCAGGGGCAAAAGGGTAAACTTTAGTCCTATTTAGAGAATAATAAACTTAGAGTCCTATTGTGGAGTTTATACATTGTTTTAGTCTCATTTAGGATAAATACTTTATATTTTATTAAGAGTTATCCGTTGTATTATCAGGATACAATGATGTCATTTGGGTTGATTCACATGAGGTAAAACACAATAATGGATATCCATTCACCCTTAAAAGTGGTGCAATGATGTTTCATAAATAAAACTTTCTCATGATTTTGAAGAATAGAATTATCTCCATTAATTATGTGAAACCCGGCTTAATGTTGGAAGATAGAGCAAAGTTTCTTAAAAAATGATTAGACTTGAGCTTTCTTCCTTCCAGATACGAAAGATAAACAAAGTTTCTACAAAATTTGTTATCTCCTATAAACCTTCCTTCATCAAAATGTTCTTCTAAGTAGTAATACGAAGTATATAAACAATCTCATATATTACTCCGTATTATCTTTAAGCTCTGCTGGATTACAAAATGATTTTTCTATCCTCGTACTTCTATGTCCGGCAACTCGCCGAAGAGCTCGTTATATCTTGGGGGAAGATTTCCGACCACCAGAAATACTTTCTTTAGGACAGCGTCTAACGCGTCTCGAGCTGTTTTATTTTTCTAACATTGTTTTGCAGGTTACCACGTATAATATCTCCAACATCCAGTCGGGCAGGAGTTGGTTTCAACTCTCAGTTGCCCTTGTACGGACGGCCTTCTTCAACCGCTACACCGCCATCCGATCCGATTCTCATCACCCCTCTTTTCTACCTGGATATCCTTGGATATAGTATCCTTTAATCATCGTGTTTTTTTGGAGTCTAACTCATCCATCTCTTGCCCACGAATATTGTACAGTTTAATTGTAATCCCAACCAAACGCCCACAATTTCAATTCGGCACTTATTACCTATGAAGCACGGATACTTTCCTAGGGTAGCGTATCGGCGTATCGGATATATTCCCGTATCCGATACTCTAGGATACCCGTACCGTACGTTCCCGGGCCGTATCTGCAATTTTTAAAAGTTTCCATTTTTTTTGTAATTTTTTGAAAATTTCTGATAATGGGCCTATATGGCTATATCCGAATTGAGTCATTAACTGATCATACTCTGAAGTGGGTACTTGCATTTTTAATTTCAAGATTGTAGTTGTTTGACTTATTTCTCATTTTAAATTAATGACTTATTGATTACATTTATATTTCGAGATACACTAGTATATATGAGAAATATTATGAATTTATCAGCAAGTATCTTAAAAAAGGAAAATGCTTCAATGCAATGAATGGGTAGACATCATAGGATATTATATGTATATATATATATTTTTTTTAAATCTATTTTAAATATTTATAAATAGACCCCTATAACTTTTAATATTTGTAAATACACCCCCATAACTTTTAGAGTCAATTCTCTAAATAGGATTAAAAAGTGGCAAAATTGCACAAATAGGACTACATTTTTTAAATTCCTTCAATAGGACTATTTGTGTGTGTTTGGACAAATATACCCTTGTAACTTGTGAAATATTTTAATTAATAATAAAATCATACAAAAATATTAAAATTCGAAAAAAATATTAAAAATCGTAAAAAGATAATAGAAAATTAATAAAAATATTTTTTTAAAAAATCAAAGAAATATTTTTGTAAAAAAAATAAAAATAAAATAAAAAAAAAAATCGTAAAATTAAAAAAAAAACACATTACCACCCCTGCCACCCCCAGCACCACCAGCTCTCATCACCGGAGAAAAATATGCCAACATTTTAAATAATGCCATAATGATGGCATATTCAATGAAAATGTTGGCATATTGAAGAGTAATTATGCCATATTTTTGGCATTTTCGGAAAAAGATGGCATTTTTTTACCAAAAGTGGAAGAAATTTCACCAATCGGAGGTGGTGGTGCTGGGAGGCGGCGGGAGGCGGTGGGAAAAGTATCCATAATTTTTATCATTTTTATGGGTTTTTACTATTTTTTATTATTTTTTAAAAAAAGTTAAAAAAATAAAAATTTAATTTTTTATTTTATAAATGTTTTATAAATTTTTTATAATTTTTTTACGTTTTTTAAATATTTTTTACGTTTTTTTATGATTTTATTATGAATTAAAATATTTCATTATGAATTAATACTCTTAGGGGTATTTAGGGTAGAAAATCAATGTTTAGTCCTATTTAGGAAATTTAAAAAGTAGTAGTCCTATTTGTACTTTTTAGGAACTCATTGGTCCTATTTAGGACAATTTCCGTAACTTTTATTATTTATAAATATGGCCCCGTATCCGTATCTTACTTTTTTTTGTTTTGACGTATCCCCGTACCTGTTTCCACGTTTCCGCGTTTCCGCGTACCGGTATCGGTGCTACATAGCTTATTACCCAAACACCAACGCAGCTTATATTGGGCACAACCTATGTTGCACGGATACACCGATACGCGGATACGCGAATACGGGTATAGTGATACGGCAATTTAAAAAATCATAGGATAGAAGTACGGGGTATATTTATAAATAATAAAAATATAGGATATAATTTGCAAATATATATAATTCAGGGGTTCATAAATAAAATAATAATAGTACAAAAAAATAACTATTATAATAAAATTTCAAAGATTAGTTTAAAAAGCTAAAAACAAAAGTACTAATATTTTGATTTAAATTCAAATAACATTTTTTTGTTCTCTATTTGCATTTACATCAATGTCTTGTTTCAATTAAAGCTCATCAAGCAATGAAATGACAAATTATAGTATTCCATTATTTTTCATACTCCCGAAACCATCTTTATCAATGTTCCACATGTTGTGGTCACTTGGGCGGCTACTCAATTTTCGTCATGTCGTGTATCAAATGAGGGGTTATAGGGTCAGATATGCGTATCGGTTCACGGATACGGGTATTGGAAGTATCGGTATTTTTAAAATTAAGCCCGATATTTTTATTAAATTACGGATACGGACCCAATACGTACAGGACGCGTATCGGTGAGTATCGGATACGGATACGTATCGGATACGCAGATACGACATCGAGGTGAAGTATCGGTGCAACATAGGGCACAACCAGAGGTATATTCTTTTCCCAGATATTGTACCCATAACAATTGTTCTCTATATGGTTCCCATTTGTAATTTAATTTTTTGCAGTAGAATCATACCATACTACTACCTCCGTAACGTAAATATCTTCCCACTTTCCTTTTTTGGACGTAACACTAATATCTTCTCATTTCTAAATCTTCCCATCATACCCTCAATAATTTTAAAAATAATACACTATTACACCTACTTTTTTTGGATTTATCCTTCATTCCATCACATTATTTCACTATCTTCCCATCATACCCCTAATAATACATATCTCCTTTCACTATTCTTAATCTACCTACTTTTCAAATGGAAACATCCCAATGTTACGGAGGTAGTATATACAAACCACCGTGAGAAAATAGGCAAACTTCCCGCCTAAACATTTGGTGAATTGGGTCCAATAAAGCAAGTGTAGAAATAGGCATTCGGCGGAGGTCAATTTTAGCCTGGCAAATGGCTCAGTTTTCTTTACAGGAGCATTTATTATATTCTCGAGTGACGTGCATGATACAGAGATAAAGGTGATAGGCTGGTAATATATTGAAGTTGATAATGGTCTAAAATAGGGCGTAGGGACGGTTTGCAACTGCTTCTGCTTAAAAAAAAGCATTTTGGAGATGTAAGGAAAAAGTGATTAATAATAAAAATTGATAGTAAAAAAGTTAGATTCCAGAGCTGAGAACTTCTCTCTAAAACTTCGGTCCTCCTAGGGCTCAGCCGCTAGGTTAGTTTTTCGATTTCGGCCTTCGGCCGGTGATCGGGTTTGTAGGAGAGGAAGGTCAAGGCAGGCGGCGGGGAAGTAAGGTTTCGATAGGACCGAGGAATTGCATCGGAACAGGGAGATCGCTGGCCGAAGGTTCCGGTGCAAGGAGGGCATCATACAAAAGAATGTCGATGGCAGAGTAGGGCAGCGAGTTGAACTTTGACAAGGAACCTGATGAGGAAGCCGTGATGGAGAGTGAACTGGTGGCGCATCCGGTGGTCGCGGTGGTCATCACAGACCGAAAGATTAAACTACCCGGGTTTCAAGAATTGATGTCTTCCCTTTGGAAGCCAGGTAAAGGTATGACTATCAAAGAAATCGGCGAACAAATGTACTTGCTAAACTTTAATCACGTTTTGGATATGAATCGTGTGATTGAGGATGGTCCTTGGCTATTTGAGCGTGATTTAATACTGCTAAAAGCTATCCAACCGGATGATATACCTGAATCAATGAATTTATTTGAAGCAAGTTTCTGGGTACAGGTGCATTCTCTAATCAATGAATTTATTTGAAGCCTTCTATCCTTAACTCATTCTTTTATTTATGCTAACTAAATGAAGGAATTTAATTTCAGCTTCATAGAAAATAAAAATTTGATAGAGAGTTCACCAACACTACACGAAAAACAACGTATTTTGTGCTTTGGTTTATACATGAGTTCTATGTTTTGTTATTCCAATCATAATAGAAATTTTAACATAAACTTGAACACACACAGAAATACATACACGCATACATATATAGGGTAATGCAAATGATCTGCGCATACAATTTATATTAAAAGAAGTTAAAACTTGACTTGGTTGAGGAAATGGAATGAAGTAAATTTAACTCCAAGTTCTTATCACAGTTTAGGGGTTTTACAATTTAGGAAATAGATGGCAGGCCATTAGCACAACAGTTTATATTTTTTATATATAAAGTATAGCGTAGGTAAAAGATCAATATAGTCCAGCTCCAATGTGTCTGAAACTACCAGAGTACGCAAATAATACCGTATGATCAGCCCATCGTGCACACAGTGTGTGCCGATCACTGTTACGAGTAATATATTGTTGGCCCAAATGTTTTTTTTATATTAATAATGGTTAACACACTGTCTAGCAGCTCACTACACTGTACCCTTTTATCTGACCTATCAATATTTGCCTCTCCCGTTAGAATTTGAATTCAGCTCATTATTGAGCTAGTGGTGAGTTGTGTGTGCAGTGAATTATGTGTCCCTGCTAATAAGGCCAAAATTCTTCTCTGTTATAAGCACACCCCTGCACCCTTTGTTCTGCGAGTGAAAGACACCATAGAGTTTCATTAGTTGAACCTTTTCTTCCTGCTAGAGAGACTGCTCATAGTGAGGCAGCTTTCCTTCTTCTTGGTGAGGTTAGGAGGGTGAGTATTGGCGAGGCTAGAAATGTGTGTTGCTCCCTTAGCCTAGGTGTGCACAAGAGACAACCGGAAAACCGAGCTCCGGACTGTCTGAGCCGGAATACGTCGACGGAATCGATCCTCAACAGTGGTATCAGAGACAGGGTCTGTCTTCGTCGTCGATTTTGCTGGATTTTGCCCTCCGCCGCCGCTCGCCGACGCCCGACGCCGCCCACCGCCGGTTGAAGCTAGTGGATGCCTCGCCGATGTACTCTGCCGGAACCTTTCGCTGCCTGAACCGCCATTTGTCGTCGCTGGTTCATCATCTCTGACAGAGATTGAAGCCACTGGAGGTTGTTGCTGAAACCGGAGGTCCTGGTCTTCGCCTGGCCATCCAATTCGATGTTCTCTCGTCGCTTGGAAGTCGCCGTCCGCCATCAAGGTCGCTGCTCATCACCGCCTGAGGATGTCGCCGGTTAGTAGCTCGACTTGCTGCTAGGGATCGCTGGAGGCGTGGACCCTGAAGCCTGGTGGCCGAAACTGGATTTCAAGTCTGCTTCACTGGACTCTAGGCTACTAATCACGGTCTGACATGCCTGGAAAAAGCTGGAATTGAGCTGGAGCCTGGACGTAAGCAATATTGGACTGCTTTGTTGCTGGGTTTCGGGCTGCTCACTGTTGGGCTGAGTTTGGAACCCTAGTTGCTGGATGCTGAAGCCTGTTGCAGGCTTGTACTCCTTGGGCGGGTGAGCTGGTCACACCTGAAGTATAGTTGGATGCCTATGACTTGGTCAAAATCAGTCAACAGTCAATCAACATTTCTAGAAAAATCCTAATTTTTAAATTAGGTGGGTAAGGTCCAAACACTCTCCTAGTGTTTGGTTGTTGTAAGTCTTCTTTATCCGAAATTTCAGTTTATGCTTTTCAATTATTTTAAATTGTTAGAATTTGTTGTTGATTTAATATTTGCTAGATTGTATTTATTTGAGCTACTGTTTATTCCTATAAATATTAAGTTGTTTTTCTAGATAAAGTTGCATTTTATATTTTCTTATTTAGTTTTTTCTGTGTGAAAATGCCTGCTTTTAATCAGTATGGAATGACTCCATTTAATGGAAAAACTGATTTTAGCATATGGAAACAGAAAATAAAGTACATATTAATTCAACAAAAATCACATAGGGCCATTAGTGAGACCTATTTGGCTTCCGATATGGAAGAGAAAAAAGAAGAAATGAATGAAAATGCTTATTCTACAATTTACTTGAACTTAACTGATTGTGTGCTCAGAAAAGTAGGAATTTTAGAATTAGCCAAATCTTTATGGAATAAACTTGAAGAGAGCTTTATAACGTAACCTTTTTGCCTAACCGGATGTTTTTACTTGAAAAGTTCTTCAAATTTAGACTAGATATGTCTAAGGATATTGAAGAAAATCTAGATGTTTTTACCAAACTTATTTCGGATATTAAGTTGTGTGGTGATAAGCATATAGATGATTATTCCCCTATTGCTCTTTTAAATGCTATTCCCGATTCCTTTGGTGATGTGAAATCTGCTATTAAGTATAGTAGAGATAATGTGACTGTTGACATTGTGGTAAATGGTCTTAAGAGTAAGGAATTAGATTTAAAATAGATGGGTGAGGATAGAAAATCCGAGGAGGTTATGCATGTGAGGGGTAGAGAAAATAATAGCTCTATTCTAAAAATCGTTCTAGGCGTCCGCCTAGTCCCCGCCTAGGCGCTAGGCGGTGGTCGGGCGCCCCGATTTTTGTCTAGGCGCTCCGACTAATTGGTTTGCCGTCTATGTGAATTAGTCGGCCACCTATGGCGCCTAGTTGCCCGCCTAGAGCGCCTATTCGGCCGCCTAGGCCGTCTAGATTTGCCAAACATTACTTGACTTTTTAATTTTATTTTTCTAACGATATACGTACTTTAACTTTAGCCATGAATATAAAGAAATGAAGTTATACATTAAGATAATACTATATATGTTTGTATATATACCTAAATTTTATCATTGTTTATATTTATAACATATTGAAGTTAAGTGATTAGTTATCATATACGGAGTACTACTTATGATTAAATGTGATAATTCTATCATTCATGTTTGTTAATGTGTGTGTGTATTATACACACAAAGGTACAATATTACTTATCATATTTATGCAAAAATATAGATAAATATGCAATTTTTGTATCTCCGACTAGTCCCCGACTAGGCGCCTGCCTAGCCGCCTAGGCGCTAGGCGCTGGACTGACGCCCGACTAGCGCCTAGCGGTTTTAGGAGATTGAATAATAGTAGACGACATAGATCTAAGTCTAGGTCTAATTCGAGGCGTTGCTAGTATTGTCATGAACATGGTCATTTCATAAGAGACTGTCCTAAATCTAGGAAAAATGAGCATAGTGAGCATGCTAATTTGACTGCGTGTGAAGATGATTTAGGTGATGTTTTTATGATTAGTAATCTTTGTGATTTTGACTACTTGAGTTCTGTGATATCTGATTCTTTGGGTAAATCAAATTGGGTGGTAGATTCTTGTTGTACTTTTCATATGTCCCCTTTGAAAAATGTGTTTTCAAACTATAGAGAGATTGGGCATAGCTTTGTGTCTTTAGCAAATGAGAAGAAATGCAATGTGCTAGGATTAGGAGATGTATGCCTTAGGTTCTCTTGTGGTTATGTGCTTGCTTTGAAGAATGTTAGGCATGTTTCTGAGCTGTGCTGTAATTTGCTATCTTGTGCTTCCCTTGAAAATGAGGGCTTGAAGAGAAAATGGGGAAAGGGAATCATGAAAGTTGTTAAGGGTTGTTTAGTTGTTTTTAAAGCTGAGATGAAAAACAACTTGTATGTTTGTCATGCTGAACCCGTACTTGATTTTGTGAATTGTGTGCAACCCTGTGTGCTAGGAAAACAGTCTAGAGTTGGTTTTCCTGATCTCCCTAAGTGTACTGATGTGATTGATTGTATTCATGCTGATTTGTGTGGTCCTTATAGTGTTTCCACTCATGGTGGGAAAAATTATTTTCTAGCGTTGATTGATGATTTTTCAAAGAAAGTGTGGGTTTTGTTGATTGAGAATAAATCTGAAGTTTTTGATAAGTTTAAAAACTGGAAAACCCTTGTTGAAAAACAAACCGGTAAGAAAATAATTTTTTTAAGGACCACTGTCAGTTTTGATTTCTGTGATGATCAGCTTGGTGATTTATGTGATACTTGGGGTATTTCTATGCATAAATATATTCCCTCCACACCCCAACCGGATGGGGTTGCTGAGAGGATGGTTAGAATTTTATTAGAGAGGGTGAGAGCTATGTTAGCTTCATCTGGGCCCTCCACACTGAAAAATGTTTTTATTTTTAGAAAATATGGTTTTTTGTGCAAAGCTTTCTAACCTATTATAGTATTTGTTCAATGTTAAGGCCAACACGCTTGAACTGAGATGTGATTCAAATCTATGGTCTCTTCTTTTGGAGTGCCACAGTGATACCATCAAACCACTAGGTGCTTGACAATACGGTTTTGCTTTTAAGAATAAAGAATATCCATTTTCCTCCACCACTTTCACATGGTATGCTCGACCCCACAATTCCAGATTCAACGTGACCTTTCCTCTGGGGTGTCGACCCAACTTCAGACAAAGAATCCAGACAGGGGGCCTTCTTCACAGTAGCATCTTAGTTATACTACGTAGTACATAATTAAGAAGAATGGAAGCGCAATTCTTCAATTGGCCCCTATCTTTTTTTTTAGAACAAGTTATTGTCATATTCATTTTTGTCCCTTTTGGATCAACCTCTAATCATATGAGGCCCAGCTCCATTGTGTGTGAACCTAATAGCGTAAGAAAGGTTCTAGGCACTTGTAAAAAGTTCATAAAATATTTTGGCAATAAAAAAGTATATCAGAATAAACTTATCAAACACTATTTAAATGAAAAACTAATAGCCACTACATAAACTTAAAACACTATTGGTTGCATAGCTTCATCGTTCTCTAACTTCTTTAAGTACAACAGCTTCGGGATCTCTTGAAGCTCTGTTGGTGACCTTGTTGGAATATTGGAGTCTTCTTTCATGAAGTGATCGATCACAATTGAGAACCACCGTACATATAGGATGTACTTCGCTTTCTTGTCAGTTGCTCAGTTGCTCTAGAATTTCAGACCAATGGGTATGAGACTCCCTTCACATTTATGCATATATAATTCCTCTTGATGGTTAGCTACATGATGATAATTAATGATTAAGATTCAAGGACAATTGTTGGAAATAATTCTATTTTTCCTATGACGTCATGTTTTGTATGCATGGAGATTTGTATGTTATTGTTTCGAGAGTTACAAATCCATCTCGCTTGAAGTTTGTGATACATGACAATGAGGTAAATATGAAACAAATCGAAAATGCATCATCTAAGAGAAGGTGTTCAACAATTGTAATGTGTGTGCTTATTAAACATTTAATATTGAATATTCTTAAATTACAATTTCTATCATTTTTGTGATAAAAAGTAATATGATTTGAAATTACGTTTATATATTACTACCATTGTCCACTAACATTGGGATATGAGGAGGTGATGTGGTTATTAAGAAAAGTGAACGTATGTGGTTGATATTAAATTAATAAAGTAAAAATAAAGTATGGATGATTTGATATGTAAAAGTCTTTGTGGAACGAACTGAAAAAAAGATATAATCTTAGCCGGATGAAGGGAATAATATTTATAATATTTGTATTTTACACCCCGTGCAATGCACGGGTGGAATACTAGTATGGATCAAATGAGAACAACTCTTAAAATAAATAAGAATTAATCGACCATTGATATTAGACTTCCATTCTTTAAATACGGATTGTGATTATGGGCATTATAGTAATAACCCAGAGATAGTTTATTATGGAAACTGCTTCTCACCGGTTATGACTAAAATTATGATCCCTTGTTTGTAGAGCAATCATTATTGAATAATCTTCTCTCTTATTAGAATAGTAACTACCATTTACTATTATTGGATATGTATTTTGATGGTAACGATAGACCATTCTGTTTTATCTTGATAATGCCGGCCTATGTGTCATTTGCAACACACTTTTTATATACTAGTACACATTAGTCTCATGTAATGCACTTCTCATCATCTTTACTCTTTAGCAACCTTTAAAATATCATCTCTTGCACAATAATTTTTATTATTTAATTTTTATTAATTATTATTGCACAATCATAAGTTACGAATGCACATGAGTTTATTCAAGGTTAATTAGAGTCACTCTACGATATATTTTACACACTTTCAATATTCAGATGCACGTTTTTCATTAGTTAGGCTGATAGGGCGGAATTGGGAATAGCCGCAAGTGTAATTCAATATATTTTACGTACACACTTTCAATATTGAAATGCACTTTCAGGGTTTTGGAATAAGTGTGATGAGGGAACTCGTAAGAGCCGGAGGCATCTTAATGCCCAAAAAAAATTCCTCGTACTGCCGAATGTAGGTCCTCAGCTATGGTGTCCCAGCAGGACCTATAAAACAGACTGTTCAATCCATCCGGACAGAGGCGGAGCCAGAGCACTGGGCCGCACTGGACCGGGACAAAGAATATTTTTTGAAAAAAATTTACACGAAATTTTTTACCTTAAAAATTAAACCATTTTTAAAATTTGGGGTGGGCCATGGCCTAGATTGGCCCACCCCTAGCTCCGCCCATGCATCCAGTCCCGGGCTGCTGTTCTGGCTTAGGGAGCAAACCGTGTCCTTAATTTCCTACTATTGTGGAATTGTCGTAAGACAGAGATTATCAGCCGTAGTAATCTATCTCTATATAAAAAGAGGTGGAAATTTTGGTGAGTTTCCTACCCAACAATGGGCCAAAAAGTGATGTATTAGGCTGGGGTTAATAGCGGCTCGGGTCTTCTATTTGGGGGTCTGAAACAATGCCCAAGATGATTTAGTACGGAGTATTACCATGACCAACAATTTGTCCGAGAGTTGTCATTATCTGAGAGTCACCCCTGTTGACCGATCACTTGGTTTTCCATACAGAAAAAATCAAAACTATATTGCGTATACCCACACAGCCACAACTTAAGAGGATGTCATCGATTTGGCTGGGAGGGACAGAGCATCAAGGGATTCATCGCTAGCAGCAGCCACAGTAGTGATATCAGGAAGGACCATAGACGGTGGTGACAGCAGTGCCCGATTGAGACTGCTCGCGACCAGCCGACCAAGTGCCTCTGTAACAAATTTTCCGATCTTGCGGACGGGGACGGCGGACCTGGAGCTTTCCTTTTCAGTGACGGTGGCCAGCGGAGTGATGACGCCAAACTTATTGTGGCGGAGCCGCGAAGGGGAAACCGGAAAGATGAGTCCAGGCAGCCTGCGAGGCGAGTGGAGGACTGGCAACCTTTACGTCTCTATAGGCTCTGGTTTTGCGGCTTGCGAAAGGAGGAAGGAGGAGGAGGAGGAGGAGGAGAAAGTTTTTCCCCCCAATTTTGGTGTCAAGGTACGGCTAGAATATACTTCGTACTGGGCATAACATACATTAGTTTTTTTTAGTATATACTCGGTGTTTAAAAAATCATCTTTGGGTATAGGTTAATCTCATCTTCAAACTCAATGCTGATATGTTTGATAGCTATATATTTGTAATAATGTCCATGAAGAGCTCAGTTAATGCTTTTAATTGTTTCAACGAGATTACAAGTTTGACGATGTGAAGTGTAACTTAGAGGTTTTCCAAATATATTATGTTTTGGACATATTATTTCACACATCCGGTTTTGATTTTTACTCAAAAAAAAAAATTATTTTAAAGTTTTTTCAGATAAATTTTGTTTGGATTGATTCAAGTAAATATGCAATCCAGAACGAATACTCTTGGTAACCTATTTTATTAGTGTTGTGGACCAGTTTGATGCCACAATGGAGTTGGTCCAGAATGAAGTAGCAGCTTCTTCAACAAATTTCTTTCACACCGTTGTTTTCATATTGAAAAATTAGTACTCCGTATTTGTTTGTCTAATTGTTGAAATCTTGGGGTATAGAGGTAAGGTGGTTCTATAATTTATTTTCAGCTATCACTCGCCTTTGTTAAAGTAGAAGAGATCTTTTCGATGTGTATGTAAAACATGTAGACATAGTCATATCGCAGTTTATAAGATTTCTTAGCATTTGTTTGAATGATGGCTTTGCTCTATTATAAGATTGTTTTTTGTATTTGTTTTTCCTATCACTAGATTTGTTGAAGTAAAAAAGTTGTTTTTAATATATTGTTTAAACATTTAGGTATAAACAATAGCAGGTGGCTAAAGGTGGGAAATTAAATGAGGTGAAAGTTTTTTATGAGGTGAATTGATGTATAAGGTGAATTGATATATAAATAATAAGTACTTGAGGTTGAAGTTACACTCTCCTGACTCCTATCCGTGTTTTTTTAAACATAAGAGGATATCATTTCATAAGCATATCAACAAATTTTGAAGTATCTCCATCATATAGTGGGCTAAAATGAGCATTTTATCATCTTTTAGGTAATTAAACAAAGTGCAAATTACACTGATGATTTTGGGTTTCACTAAAGTAGCGAAAGAATGTAACTTATTTGAGGTGTTTGGGAATATTACGGTGGGAGTTTTTTTTTTTCATGCAGTGGGAGTTTTTGAAATTAGAATAAGTTCATCCTACATGAAAATATTAACTCATTACAGAAGTCTAAATTTTATCACATGTTGGACTTTGCTATAGCCTGACTTTAGGTACTACCGGTACCGGCCGGGTCGGGCTCTATTTCCCCAATCTCGGAACCGCTCCCAAAAAACCCCAGGCTGGTCCTAGGCCCGGAACCAGTTCACTGGGTAGGTCCAGTCCTGCACAGTGGCGGTGCGGTCCTGTTCCCGGGCCAGTCAGACCGGAACCGGGCCACCCCTAACTTTAGGCATGGTCAATTTTACATTGCAGTGTCAAGAGGTAGAAATAGTAAATGTTTAAAAATATTGTTTGGTGATGAGAATGATGAACAAATTACAAATGTTGTTTACAAAAAAAATTCAAAAAGTGTAACTTGTTCGCTCATTATTATATTTATAATTTTTTTTATTACAAGAGCAATGTAAACATTAATTCCACCTCTTCCTAATTAATTTTTTTAAGTGTATTAAATCTATTCTCTTCTCATGATGAATTTTATATTGGAAGTGATAAGAGTGATAAACAAATTACTAATGTTGTTTATAAAAGGAGTCTTTCAAAAGTTGTAGTTTGCTCGCTCATTATAATATTTCCTCTCTCTGTCCCTTAATTGTCGCAGTTACTTTTTATTGATAGATGAAGTATGGTTTTTCCTATTTTGAGAATAATGTAAACACTAACTCCTCTTAATTAACTTATTTAAAGTACACTAACTCTATTCTGTTTACTCATATTTTTACTACGGAGTATTATAAATGAATAATATGATATCATATGATACATACGGACTTAATAGATCAGAGGAAGAGGGGTGATGGGAATGGGAGGGCGGCGCAGCGGCTGAAGACGCCCTCCTGCACTGTTCCTGCACTGGGCGTGATTTGAATGCAGAGAAAGGAAGAGGCCGAATGTAGTGGGTAAGGAGCAACTGGTAAGAACGGGAAGGAACGCATAATGTTTCGAGCCCAATGCATATACTCACTCCGCCTTTTCCCACACCGTTAACACTTATACTTATATTGCCTGTTATATTTAGGCTCGGCTCCAAAGCACACCGTTTGTGGTCCTTCAAGTAGATTTGTTAGTTATTAATTGACAAAGTAAGTATGGATGTTTAACATCACAGAAGATAGGAATATGAATTATCTAACTATCTAAGAACAAAAAGATTCTTAGAAAGTTAATATTCCTATCTTTGTGATGTTAACCTTTCATTCTTTTTCTCCCACAATTTTTTTTACATATTTAAATGTTTGAACCAATGATACCTTGGTTTTTTTATTAATGTTTTTGAGGAGATTTCCCAAAATAGGACTAAATAGAGTTTGGAATTCCAAAATAGAAACTACTATGTTAAGTTTTTCTTCTCAAAATAGCAATAAGTTGTCAGTATTTACTGTCATCTTTAGTTATGACTATCAAATAGTCGCAGTATTAAGCATTCAACATGACAATATTTATTATAATTAATGACAGTATTTTTCAATAATGATAATAACGACTCTTATTTTGGAAAGAAAACATAGTGATCATATTTTTAAATTTCCAAAGTTGTTACCTATTTAGGGCAATTTTCCCTTTTTAAAAAAGTATTGAATTATTAAACCAATGATACCTTCATTTTGTTTAAAGAACATATTTAGTCCCTCAATTATTGCCTAGGGGTGGGATTTTGGAACCGGGAACCGTAGAACAGATTGGAACCGAACCGTTAACAACATCTAGGAACCGAATCGCTAACAATTAATGTCTCTTTTGTAGGAACCGAACCGAAACGGGTTATAACGGTTCGGTTCCCGGTTCCTATAAAAAATATGTGCATGGAACCGTTAAGGAACCGTTATTAAAAAAATAAAATAAAATAAAATTAGTAGTAGTAGTAGTACTAATAATAATAATAATAATAATAATAATAATCACAATAATAATAATAATAACAATAATAATAACAATAAAAATAATAATAACAATAACAATAACAATAACAATAATAATAATAATAATAATAATAATAATAATAATAATAATAATAATAATAATAATAATAATTATAATAATAATAATAATAATAATAATAATAATAATAATAATAATAATAATAATAATAATAATAATAATAATAATAATAATAATAATAATAATAATAATAATAATAATAATAATAATAATAATAATAATAAGGAAATGGAGTCTAAATATAATATGAGTTGCAGGGATATTGCTCTTTGGAAAAGTAACAAGATGAAGCATGCTATGGATTTTCTGCTAGCTATCCCTGCTGAAGGTCTAGGACAAACCATTAGTCCTAGACAGTTTACTGCAATCTTGGCATACAGACTTGGCATCCCCCTATTTCAGCATGGTGCTACTTGTTCTTGTTGCCTTGGTAGTATGGATGCCTGGGGGGATCATGCCCTTCATTGCTCCAGTCATATTGGCCCCAAATTCAGGCATAATTTGGTTAGGGATACTGTGGCTGACATTTGTTTCCGGGCTGGTATTTCTCATAAAATTGAGGCTCCCTTGGGGTTCCTTACGCAGCAAGGGGGTGGGGCTAAACCTGCTGATGTTCTTCTTTATGGATGGGATAAGGGTGTTGATGTTTGCTTGGATGTTACTATTGTTTCCCCTTTTGCAGGGGATGTTAATCTTGAACATTTTAAATCCGGTGCAGCCTTAACCAGAGCTATTGAGAGGAAGAAGCATAAATATGAATATATTTGCAAAAGCAATGGTCACAATTTTGGTACCTTGGGCTTCACCACCTTGGGGGAACTCGGACCGGAATCCATTTTGTTTCTTAAACGTGTTAAGAGCCATATTGCTAGACATGATTCCACTTTAAGAGTTGGCAGTTTTCTTTTTATTAGGAATCGATTAGCCATTCAAAAAGGGGTTGGAGCTCAACTTGTTGCTAGGCTCCCCACTTGTTATTTGTAATCCTTCAACTTTTCTTATCCTAATAAAATGCCTTTCCATAATAATAATAATAATAATAATAATAATAATAATAATAATAATAATAATAATAATAATAATAATAATAATAATAATAATAATAGCAATAATAATAATAGCAATAATAATAATAGCAATAATAATAACAATAATAATAATAGCAATAATAATAATAACAATAATAATAATAATAATAATAATAATAATTATAATAATAATAATAATAATAATAATAATAAAAATAATAATAATAATAATAATAATAATAATAATAATAATAATAATAATAATAATAATAATAATAATAATAATAATAATAATAATAATAATAATAATAATAATAATAATAATAATAATAATAATAATAATAATAATAATAATAATAATAATAATAATAATAATAATAATAATAATAATAATAATAATAATAATAATAATAATAATAATAATAATAATAATAATAATAATAATAATAATAATAATAATAGCAATAATAATAATAGCAATAATAATAATAATAATAGCAATAATAATAATAATAGCAATAATAACCACCACCACAACAACAATAATAAAACAATATAACATATTTAACTAACCATTCTAATTTAATCAACGGAAAAGAAGTAATAAATATTGTACATGAGGTTGATATAATACATTAAACTCCTTTCTACAAATCAAGTTTTGTTCCATCACATAAATTTTATAAATATAAAATAACTCAAATAACTTGTAGTTGATTGCACATATTTTACTTTACTATTTTCATGATATTTCTAATTATTAGATTTATTATGAATCAATAGAATGTAATAATGTTTTTATATCTATACATGCAAACTCAATGTCTTTTTTTTTTATGTTTTGAAAGACTTGAAGTAGGCGTCCTATTCTTGGTACTATGATGACGAGTAACCTTCATCGCTCCGATACTACACTGATGTTCAATGTTTGATTTATTACATGAAAATTCAAATCACTTTTGTTCTATTAAGTGTTCAAAGTTCATTAGTTAAGTTTGAGCTTAGATGTTTGAAATAATTAGAGCTTCAAATAAAATTTTAATACTCGTGTTTTTAATTTTCGACGTGTTTAAAATTATGTGTTAAATCTTAGACAAGAAAAAATTATTCTAGGAACCGGTAAAAAAAAGAACCGAACCGTTTACTACCGGTTCGGTTCCATAACGGTTCTTGATTTTTTATTCGGGAACCGAACCGATTTCATTAGTTAAAATTTTTATAACGGTTCCACTCATTTTGAGTAAGAACCGAACCGGTCCCAGTCCTATTATTGCCTGTATTAGAACGTAGGCCCGCCTCATCCATTCAAATTTATAAATGTCACTCTCTAGTTGTTCAAATATAAACAAAATCTTTAATTTTACCCCAACTAGTAGAACACCCGTGTGATGCACGTTTGGAAAATTTTCACGATGTAATTAATTTATTCAAATTACGAGAATCTTATAATTTTAATGAATTATGTAGAATTCCGTACGATAATAAAGTTTGACAGAGATTGAAATATATTCAATGAGATTTACCAATGAACAAAATCGTATACAAATTTTTATAACCCCACACAATAGGAAGTAGCATGCCATACAAATATAATTTGAAAACATGATACATTTCATGCTAAATGTTATGAAACACTTCTTTATAGACAAAATTCTTAATTTCAATGTTCATGTTTTTTATTGTTTGCAATTGGTTATATATGTTAATTTCAATAACATAAAGTGGATCATGACCAAAAACATGTTTTTCAACTATGAACCACACGCGATGATTGTCTATGACTTTTATTTATAGTCATGTCATTCATTATAAGTCATGTTTGGGTATTATAGCAATCTAAATTGTAATGGCAAACTAACATATGAAGTTGTTGAGGAATAAAGAATACATGAGAATTAACACCTTTTATCTTGCACTAATCCTCGTTAAAGTCCTTCCTTCTATTAAAATGATTTGCTCTAATAATTCACTTGTGCGATACAGAAATGATTTTGGCAAAGATTTTTTCATTTTCAAATGTTTACATATTAATTCAAAAAAGTTATTTATAATAACTAAGTAATCAGATGACTATAAATTTATATCAATTGCATGTTTTAAATGACTTGCCTTTGTAAACAGGTAAAACAGGGGGTGTGCAAATATATAAATGTGCGTTATGTTATTCTTAAACTATACTTATCTTTCTGTTGTATGAAATAAAACCTTTAACTATATTTGAATACAAATTTGTGAAAAAATGTTCAAATAGGCATTTCTACTATTTCTAACATGTGAGTTGAGTCCATATGTAAAAAAATAGGTAAAGAGAATTGAATGGTTTTTAATAAACATCGCATCGGCCATGTATAAAAGTTGCCTAAATGAGACATAAATTTGTAGAGGTTAATTTGTCAAAGTTTAACATTTTTGAGTAGAAAAGTCAAAGATGAATAACTCAAATAGTATAGAAGTAGAAGTTTTTTTAAAAAAAATAAATAGAAAATACTCTTATTCGTAAGAGCCCTAAGGGTCTGTTTGCAACAGCTTCTGCTTTTAAAAAAGTGCTTTTTTTAATGAAATGGGGAGAAGTGATTAAATAAAAGTTGATTGTGTTTGAGAAAAAAGTGATTTTGAAAAGTAAATGTGGGTAGTGTTTGGTAAAATAAGTGCTTTTTGTGTAATAGAAAAAGTAAAAGCACTTTTGACGCGGAAGCCGAGAAAAATAAAAGTTGTAGTGTTTGGGAAAATAAGTGCTTTTTTAAAGCCAAAAGCTGAGAAGTGCTTTTTTAAAAGTGGTTGCAAACCAACCCTAAGAGGCCTTTTAGGTTTTCCTCCTGAACAATTTTTCCAATAAAGATCAGAAGCATGCATGATGAATGAATAAGACTGTTGGTGATCGTGGGGCCAGAACTGTTCTGGCAAAATAAGAATTCGGCGTTGCTTGAACAAAGGATTTGGGGCTCAGGCTTGATTTTGAGAAGTTCGGATGCTGATTTTGATCAGTGACATTTTTAGTGCTCCACAATTGCTTGGATCCTTTGTGATTATATTCTATAAACACAAATATTATCATATATCTAATGAAGTATTTTGTGTGTACCAAGTGATCCTAACTTTGAAAAACTTTGTACTCTGAAAAATCCATCTCAAACTTTTAACAGATCTAAATCCGAGTTGATCAAACTATTCGTTAGATTCCCACTATCTTCTAATGACATAGTTAAACATATAACATATGCGTCCCGTGCAACGCACGGGTAAAGAATCTAGTATATTGTAAAAATTAATCGTTGCAAGTTTGTCAATTTGTATTTTTCTAATTTTAACTCATAATTAAATAAAATTTAATAATGGTAAAATTGTGCACTACCAGACATATTTCAACTAAATAAGAGCGCATCAACTCATTCTCGTGCAACGCACGGGTGAAAGGCTATTATTCTTTAAGAAAAGATGTAATCCTGTCAGGCTGGCCTGATAAGATCCGACATCTGGCCAAGTCCATTGGGGGCTCTTCATCAAGTCTAGTTTATACCCTCCATATTTTAGGTTAAAATTCAACCATGAAGCATGCAATGTTTTTCAATTCGACATTTGACTGGATTGAATTTTTAGCTGAAATTTTATACGCATAAACTAGAACGCTACTCTCTTTAAGAATATTGTATTGTAGTATAAATATATACTCCATCCATTCTCATTTAGTTGCAACATTCCACTTTTCATGTTTGTCAACGCACACGTATGACCATTAATATAACTTTTAAATTTAATGAAAGTTGTCTATAAAATCAAGTTTTAAAGTAAAATACAATTTAATATCATAATTATAAGTCATTGTTGTTGATCGTTATTTGTTTTACTTATCTACTCGATCATGGAATAAATTAATGAATGTAGTTAATAGAGAAGACTCATGAGTAAGATATAAAATATCACGAATTTTCATCTTTTTTAATTTAAAAAAATAAATATCATTTAATTTTATTAAACTAATAAACTTTTTGCGAAAAAAATGATAAAAAATTAGTAATTGAACTAATAAAAAGAATCAAAATCTATGATATACTACGTATATTTTAGGTCTTAGATAGATGGATAGCTTACAATTATTCAGACCCTATATCGAACATTCTATCTTTTAGTTTCGTTATTAAATACTAGACCAATCTTTTAGGTCACAGATTGATGAAATTCATTTTTTTCTTGGTATTTCTTCTTTGCTACACATGAAAGAAATGATATTGAGATTAATCCAGCCGGATAAATTACAAATAGATTTTGATATATTGTGATCAAAATTCTAGACACTTCTTCATCATGAATATATTCATGAAGAAGAGGTGTCTAGAATTTTGATCACAATATTTTAAACAACTTTCTTTGATATATCTCATGAATATTACTCAGCTCGTGAGTCTTCTACTTTAACTGCTTTCATTAATATTTATTTCATGCTCGAGTAGCTAAGTACAAAAATAATGATCAAGAACAATAATTTATAATTATGATAATAAATCGTATTTTACTTTTAAAATTTAATTTATAGACATACTACAGTATTTCATTGATTTTAAGAGTTATATTAAATAAAATTTAAAAAATATTAATATGAGGGGGCATATAGTGAGAATGATCAAAGGTGAGGGGTAACTAATTGATTTTTGAATTTAAGTGACGAATTAGAGTGACGAATTATATCTTATATTGGAGCTCAAACTTTAAGTGACGAATTAGATCTTATTGTCATGATAAACATCAATTAGTGACGAAATATAATATGAAAAACAATAAAATTGTCATAACATATCATTTTATTGTGACGAATTTAAGTTTTGTAACTAATACTCAATATAATATGACAATTCTTTGTGTGTCACACAAATTGTTGTCATAAAAGGTGCAATTTCTTGTAGTGGCAGTAGGAAATGAGGAACATTGGGGGAGCAATATAAGGAAGAATGGGGGAAAGGAAGAAAGATATAGGGGGGAGAAAGGGGGACAAAGGGAGCAATGAA